GCCACTATGCCCTGGACGTCGAAGTTGGGGGAGTGAGAGGGTCCTTTCTACAACCCATGGCGGCCGCTGAGTATTAATAAGGTAAGAACTCAATAACCTTTTTTATCGAGAACGGTGCCTTTAATTCCTACTCATCTTCCACTGAGCGGAAAACGATTTCTAAGACCTCCTTGAGCAGTAGGAAACCTTCGAAATAGTTGTTTGCTGTTCAGTTGCAGGATATAAAAAGTTTCAGCCAAGGTTTCCCATTCAAAACAGTGTCCTGCAAAAACTGTAAAAATTCCTCGTCAAATCTCTTTTTAAAAATCTTGTCATGGATTCCTCAAGCAAAATGAAATGCAGACGCTTCCTTCTTTCTTTTCTTTTTTTTACTACTCCTTTGACGGTCATCAGTCTTTTGTATAATATATTTGCTTTGAAACTACAGGTTTTTTCCTTGGAAAAACTGGAGTATGCGTTGTGCCCTACCCTGTACCTACCTAGCTCTCCTAGGAGGGTACTACGGGTTGAAAAATATCACTGTTGCGGGAGAACTGCAAAAAAATCCATCTTTCCCAAAATGTCGTCTCATTCATGCAATTTCAATGAGCTTCATTTATCACCCATGTTATAGCTCTGGAATAAATATTTTTAGAACACTGAAGATGGAAAAAGTGGTCGACTCCATTGGACTCTATTTCGGGGTGCGCCATGCACTTGAATGCCTTTCAAAACCTGTGTATTCCATCGGCAATCGAATTGTCGCAGTCATTTGTTGCGCTCGTGGACACATTGACTCAAAAGGAAAGACTGGTGCACTATAGTTTCATTCATTCTCTATTACTGCGGTCATCTACGTTTTCGTCGTGGCGAATGAGCTCCTTCATAATAACGACGGCGTCCAACTTCAATGGATAGAGGATGTAGAATTTTGACTTAATTTTGAGTTGATCAGTTCCCTTTTTGGCATGACATTCGTCTTTCATTCAGAATAGTAGTGATGTGGGAATGCGTACGTGGTCGACACAATAGCTTGCGATGACCAGCCGATGTAGTAGTCAGTGCTCCTGCCAATCCAGACCACCACAAATTGTCCGACCCATTGTAATGGAAAGTCTGGTTGCTCTGGGTTGGCATCGATCCAGGATCTGATTTTCCACACCAGCGCAGGTGATAGAGCGCCACTTGCTAAAACTCCGATCACGTCTAACTATATTCCTTCAAAGGCACAGTTTACTTTAACAATGGTCCCTAAAATTTCTCTTTTGGATGAACCTGTGATCCCCAAGGATAACCTGATGGACGCTGTCGGGTCGGAAAAGGGCCAAGGAAGAACGACAAGGGCCC